ACTCAGAAGAAACAAAAGTATTTTGCTTTAGTAAAAGCCCTTTTTTATCTTTCTCATGGATTTTTCTGATGATTAGACTTGATCGCACTGAGTAGCACCAATGGAACAAACAAGCTAGTCTATAAATAAAAATCTTTCTTGATGACAGAACTTAGCTCTATTTTGCTCTTCTGTCATGAAGAAAGACACTACAATAGTAGCGTAGTAGTGTAGAAGCACTACAATACTAGAGCGTTCCTATCTTTTCTAACCTGGCTTCAGCTAAACTTCATGGAGAAGCTAAAATGACAAAACAAATAGGATTATTCTTTAAATGGATAGTAGACTACAAAGTGCTCCCAAGGTTAGCACTGTATTAACATATGCATTTATAATTGTTCTGGGCTCTTCTCTCGTCTCTCACTGGCAATGAAGAGAGCAGGACCCAACCCCTTGCCTCTTACCATCCTGAAACACCCTTCTCAAATTGCTTTCTGCACAGATGTGTCCTACAGAAAATGCAAAGTAGTGACTGCTTTCTGCTGTGATCTCATTTTGCGACCACTCTGACTCCCTCTTCTTACAGGCACTTCTTTCCTGACTCTTTAATAAGTCCAGAAGGAATTGCACGTCATGGCTTGGTATCTGCTGCTACCCTTACATTAGGCTGCACGTGAGAAACTATTTCTTTTTCACAAATGAAAGAGTTTATGCAGAATTTATTAAGACACCGATGATTTTCTACATATAGCCCCATGATTTTCCCTTTACAAAGATTTCATAAAGTGGTCATGAGAACAACTGCAGTATAATGTTAGTCAATGAAAATATTTTATTTTTATGTTTGGAACTGAACACTTAATGCTTATCATACAGAAGCATGCATTAAAAGATGCTATTTGTCACTCTGTTGCTCTGGTGCCCTTTAGATTGCATTTAATATTGGGGCTTTTCTGTGATTGACATTGTATAAATTCATAAGGATTAAATTCTGCTTCAGATCGTATGATCTATATTGACAGTGCATAAAAAAGGTAGAAGAAAAAATAATCATAGAGTGAAGGTGTGACTTACTGAAATTGATGTGAGCGTTATTCTTTCAGAAAAGGACCGTTTGACTCTTTTCATTCCACACTGTGTGTCACATAGCCCCTGGAGTTCATCAGTATAGCTCAGAGGCTTGTCGTATCTTCTGGTCTTTCCCATCTTTCCCACAGATGATAGTATGATCTATATAGATCCTCATTTTAATGAAGCTGAGGGTTTCGCTTCTCCCTGGAATATGTCCCAGAAATCATCTTTAAAAATCTATAGTGTATTCAAATGTTGAATCATTTGATTTTTGTTCGTTGCCAACTCTTTCTCTAAAATGGCAGCTTTTCCTCTAAAATGTTGAAGTATACGAGCCAAAACCAACGTTCCCTCTGTAATAATTTGTAATGTTCTGAGGTTTTTTGGTGGCTCTAATCAGAGACACATTTTCGTAAGTCTTCTTTTTAATAATGACATTTCCTGTTTATTTATTTATTTATTTTCAAATTTCTAGTTCTTGTCGCGAGGTCATCTCCAATTTTGGTAGCAAGGTCAATGGGATGGTTCTTGGTAAATGCATTGCTCACATTTTTGTTCTGCGATTGCATTCATTAAGCCCCTGCTAATGTCCCAAGACCTCGGTGAGGCAATAAAAGTCTGTTTTCTATTGCAATAATGTTTTTGTGCAATCCATTTCCTTTTGCTGAATTAAGAATGACTTTATCTGTAAAAAGTTATCCGCTCTTTTCATAACTTGGGGCTGATGTAATGGTAGCAATTTAAATACTTCTGGGCAATGTTTTGCCTTTGAGCATATGGTTTAATCTACTAACAACATGCACTGGTGATTTATCAGAAAAGCTTCGTTTTTATAGCCTCCTATGTTGTACTAGGAATTAATTTAATTTGGAATAAAATGAATTCCCTTGTTAGCTCGTATTTGCGTGGGCTTTCAGAAAGACAAACCCTACTATCCGATGACTGTGCGATTATTTCATGTCACCTTTTCTTTGACTTAGTGACAATCACAATAATTCCATATTTCAAAGCCATTTGCTTGTATAGGGTTTTCTTCCTTTGCAATGCGGCTAATTTATTCCACCCCTTGTTTGTTCTTGCTAATCTGATTTTACAAACTTAACAACATTTTTCTGTTGTCACAGGTCAGGCATTTCTTTTCCTTCACTTTACATTGGCTGACTTTGTCATTTGTCTTACAATATGTCAAACGGTTTTCCATAAAAATTTCATTAACTGTTATTAGTGGAAGTTTTATTACTCTCCTGCTTTGGCTATGAGACCTAAACATTCTAAAGAATATTTTTCTTCCTTTTAATTTCTTCTTTTTCTATTTAATGGCATTTTTTTTTGTCTGCTAACATTTTCACAATTTGTTAGAGCACTCCGTATCATCCTGCAGCCTCTATTGAATAATCCTGATTTGCTATCTTTGGGAGATATTTTCTTGCAGATTCATGTACTGCAGACATCAGAAATGAATCCTTTATCATGTTAATAGGACTTTCTTGAGAGCAATCTGTTGCTCAGTCTTACCTAAGTGATCCACTTGTCAGAGTGTCTGTTGTGTGAACTTGCTTTACAAAGACACCACAGTTAAGTCTGAGTTTTCACATGCAGTATGTTTTCAAGTACATCTGACATCTGAATATTACCAGAACACTGAGGCTTTGATATGTAGTTTTGTCCCAGTCAAGTTACGGTGGTACAAAAATCCAGACAAATTGTAGAATGATGTTAAAATGATGTTAAGTCAACACCTGTGCTCCTTCTGCATTGGTTTCTTGCATCATTTGGCTTTTCCTACTTTGGACGGGTCTCTGACATTTTTAAAGGCTCATCTCCTTTTAAAATTTGCTAATAAAGATCCTTCCTGATGGAGCAAAATTCCCCAACAGGAAATTTCAGTAATGAACAGCATCTCAAAGAAGTGGGTGCACAAACTTGGGGAAGCACCTATTCACTTGTGTTCTGGAGACCCAGATTTAGCTGAACGGCAACTTCTGTTCAGTTTTGCAACCTGATATTTAGAATACATTTTAGATGTAGTATTTGTTTTCATTTCCTTTGATATGGGTTTCTGAATGTATAAAAATAGTTTTGGGGAGCATCAGCTGTTTTCTGCATTCTTGAAACCTACACCATTTTCCAACATATGGACACTGGTGGTCAAAATCTTATTCTTATCTATATCCAGTTCAAACTATTTTCTACAAGGGATGGCAGGGGTACAACCAGGTTTAAAACATAGTTCCCCCAGAAAACAACAGCAGGGAAATTGGATTTCTGCTGGAATTGCACTAAAGCTTTACTGGAATCAGATTCAGTACTCAGAGTAACTCCAGATTTTAAACTCTGTTCTTGCCCAGCTGGTTTTCAGCCAGACTTCACTATTTTTGGTGAGCTCATTTAAATTTTTTAATTTATTCTTCAATTTGTGGACAGCTGGAACATTAAACTTACATTTCATCTCTTGTTTTTCTTAAGATTTTAGTAAAAGGCCCTGCATTTCCCAATCTGTTAATCTTCTGGCCTCAAGCAAGGGACAGCCTCCTGAAAACTAACAGTGTAGGAACAAAAAGGCCGTCCTAGGAAATCAGAATAATGTTCAGCCCAGTTTAGTATCCTTTTTCAAACAGTGATCTCCAAGGAATGTTTGAGAACAAAGAGAAGAAAACAGATAATTTTGCCGTTTTTATAACTTTTTTAGAAGTGAATTTCTAATCCTACCTGAAGCTCCTATGCCACAAGTCCGAGCTTGCCTAGTTATAGTACAAGGAACCTCTTCACTAATTTACCTTTCAAGTGGTAAATGCAGCAGATGTGGTCTACAGGATGAGGGGGCCTGACAGCCAGAAGTGAGAATAGCTATAAGTGTTTTCACTCTTTATCTAATCTGCTTGGCTGTAAGCTCTGGACCTCAGCAGTGCCCAGTGACCCTGGGTTCCTCAAGCTAAATCAGGGGTTGTGAGAATAATTCCGTTGGTTTCACATCTGCGGCCTTTCAATTTCGTTGGAACTCCATATTTCTTGTATTGTGAAAAAGGCTAAATATAAGAGTTCATATGCTTTTTCTACAACTTCCCATAATTATTTTGAAAAGCACCATCACATCTGCTCACCATTCATACTCTTCACACAAAAGGCTCTGTCTCTAATATTTGTTGTCACCAACTGTGGGCTCCTTTCTATGTTTCTATCTTCCCCAGAACCAATGTGATATTTCACGGGGGAAGGTGCTGCTGATTCGCAAAGCTGAACATACACAATTTGCAGGTTCTTTCTGTGCCCTTTCTTTGTGCCGACAGTTCTGCTCTTTCGCTGTTGATGCAGACGGGAGATTTCTGTGGCTGACCTCAAAGAAATTCTTATGATAGGCAGGAAGGATGGCATGTTTGTCCGATGACTCATCTTTATACCCTCCGTTCCTGCCTTCGCCTCTTACATTTGAGTGGTACCAGATAGTACCCATTAAAAACAAAACAAAAAAGGACTCTTAAAATTTATGGCTCTTCGTAACAATCATCGTCTGTCTGTTTTAGGTAGCTTAGCACTAGAGGAAACCACCAGCAAAAGGGTTGGATCTGGGCAACAAACCTCTATATGGGCTCTTCTTTACTGGATTTCTGAGCTGTGTCCATCTGCTGAAAGCCCTTGCTATTCTGCCATTGCACAATCAGAGATAGCCCTTGCATTCAGCTGCTGAATTCAGAATGTTTAAAGTCTAAACACCATGATGTCAGTTAAGGAAAAAATAGGTGACTGCTTTGCCAGGAGAAAGAAAACCCAGTAAGTTATTTATATTTAGACTTTGATGTTGGGTTCTGAGAATCCCAAATGTCAAAACACTAACGTCAAGGAAAATGAAAACAGGACTACTGACAATTCAACTAAGTGACAGTATAAGATTTCAAGTAGTTATTTGTGAGTTAATAAGTGATTAACAAGTTACTTTTTCTAATTACCTTTCCAGAAGGGCTTCAAAGACTTCGGATGGAATTTCAGAGGGGTTTGGGTAAGCCCTGGCAAGAGCTGGTCTGCAAAATTGGCCGAGCGCTGGACGGGCGTTTTGGTGAGATTTCTAATTCTTCCATCTAGCCACCTGAACATTTCAGGACTATGTTCTATCTTGATCCTTTCTGGCATTTTTAATGCAAGTTGAAACTGAGAAATGAAAAAGCAAATGAAAACCAAGAGGAAGACAACTCAGAATGTTGTTGAACATAGATTCTTTTTCTTTCTAAAAAGATTATGTTAGCCCTAAAAATAAAATATTTCCAAATTATGGTAGATTTTAGAGAAAGTACCTTTGACTGAGCAGTGAATTTGAATGCACCTGATTAAAATCAGCTAACACAGGGGATAGCTTGTTTTTTTTTTCTTAATAATGATTATTAGATGACATGTGCAAACTCTTCATTTCACAGACTCAAAGTCCCAAAATAGGCCCGAAAAATACCATCAAAGACTGATTTTGGACATAGGAAGCCCAACAATACGTACATTGCAAAACCACAAGACTTAATAATAAGTTAACAAATTTCTTTAGCTCTGTCCTGCTTTTAGCAGCAAGCAGTTTGAATTGGTACATCCTGTTACAGATAGAGGTAGACTTAATGGACTACTGACTAAGTTCTCAATTTCAGAGCGTGGATTAGGCTATGTAGAAAACACAAATGTTAAATGAAGTGTCCCTGATAAATATTGACTCTCTGGCAGGTTTAAAACTCATAATGCTAAACAAAATATGCAGTTTCTGAGTGACACTTGACATATGAAGTCATCTGCAATAATGTTATAATGCGTTGGAATAGGAACAAAAACCAAATGAAGGGTCTCTTGGGACCAGTTACAACAGATTTCAGCTAACTCTCTTCTCTTTACTTTTCCCTTTGCTGTTTGCCACTTAGCACTCAGAGTTTGTTTCTTATGCTGTAAATGCCTGGCTTTCCTTTTCCTGTAAGTTCGCAGAATATTAAGTGTAAACATGCACAGCAGTTTAATAATTACATAAAAAAGTTTTAATTAACAAAACACTTTGCAAAGCAATGGGGGGATGTGATACAACACTATCCCAGAAGCACCTTTTGAAAGCAAGATGTCCTTTTTTTGCCCCTCTTCTTAAAACCCTGTAAATAATCCTTTCTATGTTTTTTGCAAAGATAACTTACAAATTTATGCGATTCATTTAAACGTGAAATCTCCGTAATGTGATTTGAGATAACCCTCCAGCCACTTGCTTCACATAATCTTTCCCTGAATACAGTGTTGACGTTCAGTAGTCATGCTTCTCAAGGATAAGAGCTAAAACACAATAAAATCAGTCAAGTCAACTGAGCTGAAAAATTGTATGTGCAATAATGCTCTTCAGTTTACAAGCTCATCCTGGACCTACTATCATATACAGACCTTAAAGTAGTCCTACTCCATATGCCTTATGTGAATAGTGCCACTGAACCTGATAAGCCCGAGAAGAGTGCGTTACTTGATATAAGAGCGGGGAGAAAAGTCTAACCATTTTGTGATAAAGATTGATAAATTCTTGCATTGCCATATTTTTTAAGTGCAGTTACAGTTATGGAACCATACAGTTCCATAAATTAGCAAAAAAAGTGGGAATAATGAGCCAAGTCCTTGGCCTGATTTGCTGTGGCCAAGTTCATGATTATCCTGAGAAGAATAGCACAAAACATTACCTAAGCATGTGCCCTGACTACACTGATCTTCACAAATGGTGCAGTTAAGGTAGAGATAGGTTAAAGCTTTGGCTTACAGCTCTCACAGTACTAAGCTGTGGCAGGTTTGTTATCGTGAGGGTGTGTTGTATGCCCACAATAATTACAGCTTTCTTTTGAGGATGAGCTGTGAGGGACACCATCCTGTAAACCTCTCCTGTGACAGTGCAGCTTTGCTCAGGACCATACAGAAGGAGTAATTAAACGATTATGTAATGTATCAAATTCCATCTTCTTAATCAAACAAAACTTCTGTTGTGGGTTGGTGAGTTTTTGCTTTACACAAGATGACTAAGTTCAGGAAAGTTCCTATTTTTACTGTTGGCTGGATGCCACAGAAAGAAATAATAAGTAATAAAGGTAATTATAACTAAAGTCCATTACAAAGGGAAATGCTGTGGGGCTCAAATAAAGTCTTTCCACATACCTACAATTTTTTACAATTGACTGGCACAGTAATAAAAATCTGTAATTACATGAAAACTGAAAAAAAAAATTTTTTTGGGTGCAAAGCTCGCACTGCAGTTAACACTGCCAACAAACTAATCGGAATGGAAAACACTCTGTAGAACAAGAAAAAAATGAATCTTATGAGACAATAAATTTAGTGCTTCTTTCAAATGTTCCATTATTAGATATTGGGAACCTGAATTAATAAATGAGATTAAATATTAATTAATAGGATTTAAATTAAAGGGATTTTAAGTGAAACAGTAGGTAGCAAATAGACTACAAAGGAAAAAGTTTCCAGTATAGTGACTAAGTTAATGCATCCTTTGAGATATAAACTAAACCTCTGTTAAGTGAAGAAAATACAAGTCTAAAACCATCAAGCTTCTTTCACTGCTTTGAATGATCTGGACCTAAATTAATGATAACAATGATTATAATTATATTGTTATTGCTATCTAATTAATTTAAGCTTTCAACACGGAAAATAAGTGCATATGCCAAGTTTAAGCCTGCTGTGAATTAAAGTGTCTGGGTTATAAATTAACTGCAAAACAAGGTTTATAATGGAACTAGCAATTGACCCTGGGCAGTCACAGCTTTAACTGCTGCTGTAGTATTGTTGCGTCTCTGTTTCCTGGGCACAATCTTGCAGGTTATATAACAGAAATGATTACATGATTACTTAAGCCCTTTACCTAACCCTAATTGCATGCTGGACTTGTGGCTCCCATAATAGTTCTCTTCTATTGACGTGCTCAGAGGAGACCTTAGTGACAGCACTAAACCCAGATCCTGCTGCCTGCACAGACCAATAACGTTCTGCTTACTAGTACCACCCACCCTAAAGGACATGATTTTGTTTTTCCTTCTCTCCTTTCCTAGCTGGCAACCAATTCCTGCCCAAAATGATCTACTCCTGGAAAAAATCTGCACAAATAATAGATGCATAAACTACAGGTACAGTACATACTGTACTTTAATTCTTGGCATTCGTGTGAGACAGCCACCCAGCTGCAGAAGGAAAGAATAAGACATATTAAAATGTGTGATACAAGACTGTATTTTTACTTGGATTTTCTGGAAATCATCTGCACTACAGCATCAGATCTTAAGTGTTTTTTTGCATCTGACACAATCTTTACTATGCTGAACTTGACTAAGCCAAGATTTTCAAACTCTGGCTGCTTATATTTAGGCAGGGAAAAACCTTGTTTAAATTGTCTCAAGGGTGATCTGATTTTTCAGAGAGCTAATCATCTGGTAGATCCCAGTTAACATCTATTTGGTACCACCTATCAAAGATAACTTTTTAACCATCTTTCAAAGATACAGAGCAGCTATGTCTCACTGTTTTCATAATCAGGAGCTATTCATTTCTATCAGGACTATTCATTTCTAGGAGCACTCCAAAGTCCTTGATCTGGGTAGAGTCCTTTTCTACCAACTGATGGGCAAGCAAATATTGAGAGGTAGTTTTCTCCTGAGCAAAAATATTTGTGCTGCCTCAGCACTTTTAACTTTTCTAACTCATCTTATAAAATTTTTCACAGGGAAAAAAGACCTCTGATATCAGACTCCCCGTGCAACTCCAGGCCACTGACAAAGAGGGACGAGGATACAAACTGGGAGAGACTCTCTGCCATCCCACAGAGCCATGCTCATCTAAAAGCAAGCACCTCTCAGTGGTAATGTGCCTGCAGAAGTCCAGCCCACTCAGTTTTACATGTTGTCTGCAGAGTCATCTTCCTGGCAGGTCAGACTAGATAAGGAATTTACCTACCTCATGGTCTTCAGAGTGTCATACAACTGACGGAGATTTCTCAGAAATCAGTCTGGCACAGTCTCAGCACAGTAAATGTCTGCATGGAAGGCAATCGATACGTTAAGAAGTTAAGAGAGTACCTAAGCAGTGTGCTCTAACAGATTTGCTTATTAATGAGGCAAAAGGCAGAGAAGGATGTGGCATTATGAGAATATATTGTTTACCTCTCCTGACTTGAAAAGTTAGCAGATATCCTAACTTGGGAATGGGTCCCCAAGGAGAAGGAAAATTTGGTGATGGAGTTGGGTATTTCTCTGCTTCAATTCCTTCAGTAAGAAAGTGTACAAGAAGTCCTGCTTTTCTTTGAACACAGTGGAGCACAACAGCATGACGTAGTGTTTGCTCTTTCTTTGAAAGCTTCTTTCCCAAAAGCATTCTGCCTTTCTCTCTCTTTTTATTTTCCCTCAAAGCAATGTTACCAGGCATTTTCTTAATTAACTCTTACACACATTTGGCCACCTTTATTCTTTCCTTCTTCCCTTCCCTCAAACAATGGTTGTAGAAATCACTTTCTATTTCTCAGTTTTAAAGCATTAGACCTAAGTTTGGGTGGTAACCTTCTCATTCTTAAAGGGAGATCAACTGTTTCCTAGATTTATGTGAATGCTATTATGTTAGGATTCAATCAGCCCCCACCGTAACAATCTGACCAGTTCTTTTAGTGTTCTTACAACGTGCTTTACAAGTGGCAAGACCCAGAAGGAGCTGCTGGGTATATATTACACGGTGTTTAATCAGTGAGGCAATTCAACTATTTCATTTTTTCTCTGGCACTCCTGGCAAGAGAGGCTTCATGTTCCTGTGTGCTCAATAGATCAAACGAAATACCCATTACCATACTTCTCACTGTGATGCTAGCTGTCCACTTCTCAACTAATCAAAAGACAACAACTAAAATACAAAAAGGAGTACATTTTAGGGAAGTGAGATTGACTGTACATAAAATGCTAACCAGAAAAAGTTGGGTCAAACAAGTATGCCCTGCATTTTATTGCTAATATCAGCATTGTGGTCTTTCTAATGAATTATTACATAGCCTGTCATATTGTTAAAGACAGACTTTGTGTCCTAATACAGAGCCACAAGATATTCATGGTTACAGTCGTATGCATAGCCTTACAGTTTGATCTCAGCTCTTTCACTCTTTTTGCGAGGTACGTACATGTGCTGCATAAATTGTAGTGAAGTAACTCTACTAAAGGGAAGTGTTCAGCTATACTCATTTTTGACATTGCTGTTAATAAAGATTCTCCTTTAGCTAAATGCTATCTGTACTCACCTATATTTGGAGCAAGAGGATCTGTGCTCTGTCCCTGCTACCATGGTCAGCTGGCTGCACCAAGTGCTCAGGATTACGATTGTCTCAGTGGGTAGCTGGAGACAGCAGAGCAACACTCTGCTCTTTTAGAAGTATAATCGTGGGCTGGCCAAATCAGACAAACATAACTAACTAGCTAGAAACATAATAGTGACCCTTTCCTTTCAGCTGTAGAAGGGCAAATTACTGATCTATTTGATCTGACACTGCTGTCTGCTCACAGGTTTCCTAAGGCAGACTTTCACGTTGTCAGTCAGTCTACTGTTTAAACTAGAAGATGGATTCATGTTTTACACAAAATATTCCCTGGGCCTATATTGCTTTTAGCATTTGCTATTCATAAATCTCCTGTTGTTTAGCTAAATCCTGTGATATTACTTCAGTTGCCTCTGTGGGTCACTTACATCTATAAATACGATGAATATTGAGTCAGTCAGACAGCTTTGATTTGTTTACAAGATGATACACAAGCCTTTGTGTGAAAATATATCTGTACCTTACTTGCAAGGCTTTCATTTCCTATAAAAATTTGGAGAACTGTATCTTTTGTGGAACTGTGATAGTTTTCACTAATCTCACTTAGCTACTCCAGGAAAAAAGAAATGCACTGAGCTTCACAGACAGTCATTGAGAAAAATACAGTGAGTGGGAACGTGGATTGTAACCATAAAGCCACTCATCTCTATAATACAGAGACCGGGACTGCTTGTCCAGCTGCAACACAGCAGGGCCTGGATCCCAGCTGGGACCTTTGGGAGCTACCGAATACATTTCCGAGTAACAGTAGTAATAGGAGAGAGGACACACAGAAATCTGGCTTGGTACTGACAAGTGATGCCGAAGAAGTGCCAAGTAACGTCTTCCAGAAGTTTGATGATGCAAGTTGGGCCCTGTTAAAATGTCTGCACCCACCACCAGAGCAACCTGTGTTTGCTCTGTCACTGTTTGCATAACATCTCAGAATTACAAAGCATGGTACGTTAATGAGAACAGGGGCTAATGGGAAAGGCAGTTGAACTGGGAGGGGAGAGGAGTTTTGAAATTACGTTGTTTGCCACTGCTGACATTGTAGTCTTTCACAGGTCCCCGTGATGACAGCACATGGATATTTCGGGCTAGATACTCTGAATCTTTGTTCGGATTCAGACAGACTTCTCTTGGCTCCAGAGAAAGTTTGAATGGAAACAGGATGAGGTCCCTGGTATTTGCTTAAAGCTACTAGAGCTGGAAATAGGCTATCAGGTTGTTGGGGAATGCTATAACATGTCTCTGAAGGTTTTATCAAAACTTCATCGGAAAAAGGAGCTACAGGAAGATACCTCCCTTCCCAAAAAAAGATTAATCGTAATCAAATCCTCCAGAGCTTACTCCTACTGCTGATTTCATGTCTACAGTCTCTGACTATGCTGCAAAAGGATTAGTAAGCTCCTGTGAGATAGTACCGATGTTTACTTCAAACCAATCTCCATGTCGATATGCTTCTCAGCAGTACTACTTCATAGCCTAGATATCTACTATCGAGCAAAGACATTGGCCAGCCCATGAGACAAACATAGTAGTCAGTCAATAACTGATTGCAGACATCTGCTGTGCTCAGGAGCAGCATTCAGCAGTGTTTGTATTAAAAAGCTTTTGTGGCTAGACAGCAGGACTGACTCGCTTAGAGCTTGGTAACCATAACAGTCCCCCAAGGCAATGACGCACCGCTTTAGAAAGGAAGCAAATTCTCTAATTTACAAACCATGTTCCCCCTCTTCTATGCCAAATAGCTGGAGGGTCTAATTGCACCTTAAAAAAGGGAGGGATCTATAAAAAAAACAGGAAAGTTATACATAAATGCTGACTGCAACTTACACAGTCGGTGTATTTGCTCTTTTCTATATCCTGCTACTTGCACTTTATGTGTTCAGTTACAGTCCAGGGCAGGGTACAGTGTGTATCACCTCAGGATCCATCCTGAGAGGCACTGGGATTCAATGAAATTGTGGTTTTCTTAGTCCTTCTATGAATAAGCGGGGTGTCCTGGTATTACAGTCCTCAAGGACTGTGTCCTCTGTGACAACAGGACCTGCCGGCTGTGCTCGGCCCATGGAGGGGCTGGTGCTTCTGTGTCTCTTTAAAGAGCTATTATTTCCTTAACACTTACCCATTCCCCAAACAGCAACATCATGACTACTGGATTTCCTCAAGGCTCCAATAAATAATTGGTTCATATTTATGATGTCAGTTAGATTTGTGAAAATTTGAGTGTCTCCTCTATGGGCAAGGGCTTATTTTCCTTAGTGACAGGTGTAAAGAAACTGTGAAACTGGCCCTTGTCTTTCTATGCTGGTTTAGCTAAAGCTGACCAGTAGTCGCTCGACGTTTCCTCCTCAGTGTTTCTCTAAGGGCCTGATCTGTTAATGTCAGAGAAGGCACTGCCTGACACAATAAAACTGGGAAAGACAATCAGTTTTCAAAATATGAATTTACTTTGAAAACGTAAAGTAAAGCATAAGAGTAAAGGATGGGGTTCCGAGAACTGACCTAAAAGCTCAAAAAACTAAAGTAGTCTTGAGAGTCACCCTTTAAAACTCCATTGAAAATAGCCCTTCACACTCTCAAGTTCAAAGAATAACTAAAGCCATTCTGAGTTACTGAAAATGGTAAAAACATGAGAAAAATTATATGGCATATTTAAACCTTTTGGTCAAAAATCTGTCGCTGTAATCTCAGTTTCTACGCAGGTATTTAGCAATACTGATCCAAAGGTAGCCTTGTAGCCTTGTATGTCTCATTTGTATTTTCATAAATACTGCTTTTGTCTGTTCATCATTCATTGTTCGATCTGTGGGATCTGTTCCATACGTTTTGCTCCCTGACTGGATTGCTAAAAATTTCTATGCAAATTAATTATTTGTGCTCAAGCACTCTTTTTCGATTACAGATAAAAGTGAAGAACTGCCATTTCTCAAATGCTGACATGAAAAAAAAAAAGAATCTCTGAATGAATGTGGGCAAGGGAGAGTATTACAAACAAATTGAAAATTGAATGCTGGAATGTGAACAAATATTCTTCAGCATAGTGTTTGTAGCAATCAGGCATCTCTAACTACAAGAAAGGCAGTCATTCCAGGATGTAGTGAAAGGCTCACAAGTTTAATTTTTCAGTACTTCTGTGTCAAATAGGTTCACACAGTTTGGACAGCTTTTGAAAAAGCATTAGTCTTCTGTATACTTATCTAAGACAAACTTCGGAAAACTTTCAACTGCCTCTGTTGGAACTAATTAATCCCTTGAGTGAAAGCCAGTACATCTGGGTTTATGCAGTTTTCTAAGGAAGAAAATAATTATATAAAACAAAGGGTTATCAATACATTTTTAAGAACAAAGAATAGGATGCTTTATTTAATAGAACGAGTTTCTGCTTTTGAAGCTAAGATCATAATGAACTGGTTTATATTCCACAGATGACTCCTTCATTTACTTTTTTCCTGCTGGAACTAATCAGTGGCACAAGGTCTTTACCTTAGAGCTTCTAATTTTAATTTTATGTGCAGTACAGTTCCCTTACTTTTGTTCCTTGTCAGAGCAACCCACCTCACTTCATAAAATGCTAGAGAAATCATGTTCCGAGTGCATGAATAAAGTTCAGGGCTGAGCTGCAGGTGTTCTTGTGGATTGAAGTACTCTTTCCAAAGAATAAATATGTTTCCTTGACAGCTTTCCCATGCTTTCCT